CTCCGCACAGGCTCCGTGGGTCGCAAATTGGAGCTTCTATGGCCGGCTGGATCTTCTCTGGTATACTATCCCTTTATTTCGGCCAATTTCTACTATTTTTCCAGCGATCCGCGGTGCCTGGTAGAGGCTACGCCAAACCCCCAGTTCTATAAGCCTGCTACGGAGGCTAAGTTGAGTCCCAGTCACACATTGCCGTATATGTCCTCCCGAAAGCCACCCAACTATGATAAGTATGGTTAGGAGTAGGTCGGGAGCAAGGCCGGACGAGGTTGGCTGGTGTTCGACGAGGCCGGCTATTGCTCGACTGCGCCAGCCGAATGTTTCAAAATGTTTAAAACATTCAGGAATGGACGGGAGGTTGGGCCATGGTTGGCTGGTAGTTGGTTAGCATTCGGGAGTAGGTCAGCAGTGGTCGGGGAGTGGTTGAGAGTCAAATTTATCTCTGTTCTGGATAGTCAAAAACCTCACCTGAGCATGGGTCTAGACAAAGCACGGTTCTGGATATATACAACAGCAAGTTTTACGTGAGAATGAATGATGTTTTACTTTCTAGGGAGGGGCTGGAGACTTGGTCATAAAGAATGCAGTTCTACAACAGACAGGTAGATACACGTGCGCCTTGGAGACACCTGCACATCGAGACAGCGGACAGACCGGAGCTGTCACGGTCAAAGGTACATAGAAGAAGAACTATACTGCACGACAGTCGTACATGGTACAATGTATGGCAACGACCTTTGAACATATTACGAAAAGGGTATAAATTGAAACTTAACATCCTAGTTACTAAAATATCAAGTGTTAGTATAATGTTTGTTTGTTTGTTTGTTTGTTTGTTTGTTTGTTTATTTAACCAGGAAATACATGTCTCCTATTGACGCTTTTCAAAGCTTCCTGGAGGGATAACCCCAACAAAACTACATGACATTATAATTATAAAAAAGGTTAAAGATGTACAATCAAGTAGGGCTAATAATGAGATGAGTTTCGGTATTTTCTCTGATAACAAAACAGTATTTCATATTTTTGCATTGTGAGAGTTATTGCATTTGAAGTCTGTCTGTAGTATAGAGTCTGATGAAATCTGTTGTTTTTGATTCGATAAATGTGAATAACCTATTACGTAAAGCACCGTATCTTAAGCATTCCATGACAAAGTGAAATTTATCTTCAAGTTGCCTTGGACAAAATGGACAGAATCTTTATGTTGCTGTTTACAAACAACTGTGTCTTTGATATAATTTGTTCAGATCCACATTCATATCCCCAGAGCAATATTACTGTAGAGGAAAATATCCTTCATAGTATCTACGCCACTCAAATTCTGACAATTTCTACAACGCTACCTTTCTACATTGCTAATACAATAAAATAGCAAAGTAATTTTAGTCCGATTCGGACTGTCAGTCTGCGGTTATATCATTTCCCCTCACTCCTCCAGAGGTAAATATACCTCATCATTACAAACATCTAATGATGATCTTTATTTATCTATTAATTACAACTTTGTCACTAAGGCAGGACAGGGGGAACAGGCAGAAATAATGACACAAGAGCAGTATAGGTAACAAAATCGATAAATGTTAAATGTTAATTATCTTCTTTGCAGCCCAGAGTGCGGCACCAGTAGGAGTGAAGATCGTGCGGACAGACCAGACCTCGGCGGTAGTCCGTTGGGTTCCCTCCGCGGACAACGGTGCCCCGTGCGCCCAGTACATCATCGAGGCTCAGAGCGAGTGGGACAAGAGCCTGCTGAGACCGGACCCACGCTGGTGGTACCAGCCGCCGCTGTGGAACCAAGTCTGGCGGGGAACGGCGAAACAGGCGTCCGGGCCAGGTTTGTCTTGGATCTAGACATTATGCTCTGTTATTGTCTAAAATGTTTGGTTTGGTTCATTGAGATCTCCATAAGTGAATACTATCACTAGTCGTCCTGGAGTCTACTGAAATTATACAAAATATAACAACGGAATTTACTAAAATTATACATTGAATTAACAGAAGACTAACATAAACTGAACTCGAAATCGCATGTTATATATGTCCACCTGTTCCACTATGCCTTCAATGTATATGTGTATGCGGTGAATTGTAATACATAAATACAACAAAAGATGTATATGACTAACATAGAAATTCATAACGCAACTCAATATCAGGGTTGGAGAGGTCAGACAAACATCAAATACAAAGAAAAATCAAACTACAATTTATAATGGACCTCAGCAACTATATATAACAAACAAACCATATAATCTGCTTCACACAAGGAAATTGTTAATCAAGCAACTGGATAGATATTGAAAAGTTTCAGACGTTTCAAACAGCGTCCACTACTTTTAGCGAATTCGAAAGGGGCAGACATCGTTTACCACAATACCTTTGACCCAGTGTTGACTCAACTTCAGAAAAGCCACGTGACAAGTCTCACTGGGTCAGTCTATTGAAGAAGACCAGAGTGACTGGTCTAAAGTTCTAGGTGAGAAAAATACCTTTTGTTTAACATGAAAGTTCATCTGTGTTGGTACAAGTCATTATGAAATAAAGACTAAGCTTTAACTTCCAACACTTAGATTACAGAATTAGGACTTACCAAAAATTTTCGGTTGACTCCATCAACCTTGTTCACGTATCATGGAATGGACCCGTCTACTCTTGGAACGTGACGTCAGAGACACGTGACCGTAGTAGCGGGTCATACGGGCACACACATGTTGGAAGTTAAAGCTTAGTCTTTATTTCATTAATACCTTTTGTGTTGGAACGAAACTATTAAATATAACGTTGTTTGCAGACTCGTCTGGCGGCTACTCTGCTAACATCACGGGTCTGTACCCTGACACGGAGTATAGCTTCCGGGTCATGTGTGCCAACACCTTCGGAGTCAGCAGACCCAGTGTGCCGTCAGCTATCAGGAGTACCCTACCGTCCCGTAAGTGTACTGCAGTGCCTAGAGCTAAATGGATAAAAGTAATATTCATTTTTATCTAGTACGATGCTTAACTGTATTTCAACACAAAGGGTACACAAGGATAAAATTTTCAACGACCACTGTCGCCTTCATTACGGATACATGACGTCAGCAATTGATCAAACGTGCCAGGGAGTTTATAACGTCCACCGTCTCTGTTGGCTGATGGCTGGAGTGCCTTGACATATATATGACCTCTTTTATACCTTATTAGTTCGGAAGTAATATCTCATTAATTATCCTGATGAAGGCAACAGCGGTAGAAGTAATGTCGTACCACGAACAATAAGAGCTTTATATTAGCTATCGACATCACTCTGTCTTCCTAGCCAGGGTACTACTGTTGGTCGCCGGTAGCGACTGTGGAAGAGGACGTAACTAACCAGGATGGTACCCTAGCTACTGTCTTCTTTCCTATTAGGTAAAAATAGATTTGTATTTGATAAATGCTATAAATGCTTTGGAATTTTACAATGTAAACTGTGATGCAACAATCTGCAGGTCCTTTGACTGCGCCAACCAACCTTGGCTACCAACCCGGGGCCGTAGGGAACCTCATACTTACATGGAAGGTTAGTGCGGTCAAATGATAAAGCAATATTTCATATCTCGAGAAAAATTATGCGTTGCTTTACAGACTGAGAAACATAAGTGCAATATCATTTGAACAAAACAAAAAAACAACAAAATGACCGCGGTTCAGTGACTTACGTACCAACCTATCAGCATGCTGAATTTTATTTTCTTCCAGGCTCTAATTACGAAAATATCGCCGGTTTTTAGGTGTTTGGAACGGAAGAAGAAGAAGAAACTGAATAAAAACAATATGTTTACCGTTTTCTTCGGTAAACATTAAATACATGGGAGCACGAAACGCTGGTCTTTGTATCGTTGTATCATTGAGCAAGTTTTCGTAAATCGCTTTAAACTGTTGATGAAGGTTAGACATCCAGGTAATGAGATACACAACAAATTGTTACTCACGCAACTGGATACATTCAGTTGAAAACTAGCATACGTTTCAAGTAGCATCCACTACTTTTCGACAGTCTACCGAGAAAGACTGAGAACTTCTTTTGTGTTGGATCAAAAGTTTCAACTCTAAACCTTTAGTCAGTGACTGGCGAAAATTGTACTCACTAACGAAAAGTAGCGGTTGCTACTTGAAACGCCGTTTTCAAAATTTATCCAGTTGCTCCATCAGTGAGAACTTTCAAACAAAGAATATGGTAGTCGAGAAATATGATTTGCGGACCGATTTGCGGACTGAGATTTTGGACAAGATGTGATTATTTTCTTAGGTATTTAGTAATTTATTTTTGTGTTAATTTGAATTTTACTTACTTATTTATTGTGTTCCCGTGAACACCCCCCACCCCCTCAACTGGACCTCTGGGAAGAGCGGCTAAGGCCGACAGGGCATTTTCAGTATAAATAAGGCTACTGATTGATTGATTGATTGATTGATTGATTGATTGATTGATTGATCACAATAAATATAATCCTTTCTTCCCTAGCCTATCCCACGCCCAAAGTGGGGTTCAGACAACATCTCGTATGTCCTGAGCGTCCGACCCAGAGACAAGGGCCGTGTGGCCAGGGCCGACCCGTGGACAACCGTTCACTTTAACAACTCCAATCCTAACTTCTACGTGTACAACCGACCCCGGCCCAACCCTAACCAGAGGTTTGACGCTAAGATATACGGCTTCAATGATTATGGAAATGGACCGGAAGTCACCTGGCCAGCGTATGCCTCTGCCGGAAGTGAGTATCCCGACAAAGCCTAACGGCCATTGCTTAAAGACCCATTATGTAACTTTTTGACAATACAAAATATATATTTTCCAGTCTTTTCTTTACATAGTAAGTTGACTTAACCCTTTAGTATTCCAGAACAATATTCAGCAATAGAAAATGCAACATCCTTGCTCCATACAAGCATGGTAGAAAACTGAATGATCTTCTATTCAAACCTCCGGCCACACCGCACATATGGTTGCCACTGTCAGTGGTGTGGCAGTGGGGTGTCAGTTGACAGCTTAGAAGTTGCTGAAAGACCTAGTCGTTTATCAGATTTTTTTACATCTCTTTTTATCTAAAAAGTTACATAATGAACGATATTCATGTCCCTTCCTTTGAGAACCTTTCTGACGTGTCATCGAATGATCTCTTTGAAAAAACAAAACAATACTACTGGGCACAGAAATATTGTTTTGGTTGACTGAGCTGTGGGTTTACGTGTCTGTTTATCTGGGAAGGGCAGGTTGATAGCAAGTTTGTTTGTTTGTTTCGATCTCCATTAGTATGTCATTGATTAATTCCATACTATTCTTCCTGGAGTCCACATAAAATAAAATAACAAATAATAATAACATAATAATAACAAGATTTGCTTTTAGCAATAATGATAATAGATAAAACATACAAAAATTACGTTGAATTTATGACAAACTTCAAACAAAATCAGCATAGAGAAATAAAAAGTGCATTGAAGGTCAGAGGTCAAATAATAGAAATAATATGTCTGAAATGAGAGTAATAATTGATTTACTTGTCCAATGAATGGAAAATTGAACAAAACAGTAAACAAATATTTGAACTGACATAGATATTTACAAAATATAAATAACTCAAATGCAACAATCCAAATGCAACAGAATATGATTCCTATAAATCAAATGATTAAACAAACAACTACAAAAGAAAAGAGCTCGCCATTTAATACATAAAGTCAATTGATTCGCCCACGTGGGTTGGGAATATTGGCATGCGCAAGCAGAATGACAGGAGGCCAAAAAGTCAGGCACAGGAAATGAAGTTAACTTGCAGGTCAAGAAAAACCTAAATACTTAGTGGACATCTAAAATCTGCGATTTCTTGTTCCGGTTTTTGTATAATGATATTGCTATAGAACGTATGTAGGGATCTCGTAACAAAATAATGAGTTTATTTATTTATTCAGAATTGTAACATGACAATACAAAGTGTGCACTAGGCAGCAAGTATGCTGATAGCGTGCACACATTCCTAGACATATGACATAGAAAAACAACAATAAATAGTTAGAACAAGATATATACACAAATAACATTATCTAATAAATTACACCTGCAATTAAAATCAATTTTATAACTGTACAGCAATTGAATGTTTACTGTGGCTCAGCTGGAAGAGGCACAGAATCTTTTTGATTGGGCAATGAACATGTGGAATGCATCTGTGAGTTTTGTATTTATATCAAAGTTATGACCCGGGGAACCCTGGAGCAGGACAGATGTGGTTAGGTGATGTTGAGTAAGGTGTTCAACAGTAAAGGCAAGGGTGTTGCGTGGCTCAGTGTGGAGAGGGCAATGTAACAAGTAGTGTGGTACTGTTTCAGAGGGGGCCAACACAGGCACACGTCTTGTTTGAGTTACATGTTGACATAGGTGGCACGTTTTATCCTTTCTACCCTGATCTACAGAACCACCAGCTATGGTAAAGCCACGCTGTGCTGCGACCACCAACGTGTCAGCTCTGCTGGAGTTCGACATGCCCAGGAACTACCCGGCTAGCATGGTCAGCTACTACGGCGTGCTGTTCTACACAGGGAAAGACGACAGAAAGAAAAATGAAACTCGCGAGAAGATACTATTGTATGATGAAAGGTACGTCCCTCCATGATTCTTTTCTTTGATAATTATAGATTATTGTGTGACTTGTGTATCAACGTGTGACGAGGAACATATACAGTGTATTAGAGTAATATAAAAGTCAGCATAAGCAATTTGAGAATACTGTTATGTATTTGTCGTGAAAGATTAGATTCTTCGTTTCTGAACGCTGTATTATTTGATAAAGACTAGCACATTCCCACTTACAATAGATTATTTTCAGCGATACGTTGTCACAAATATGCAGTATTTTACACAGGACGTGAACTCAAATTATCATGAAAGTTCATCTGTGTTGTTGAAGAGGCTCATCAGTCACGTAGATTTATCAGTTAGTAGTATATTACTCAATCAGTGACCCTTTTAATAGGTAGAAATACGTACCTCCAAATTTTCGATGTCCATTGTACATCTGTGTTGGTAGTAATCATAGTAAAATGTTGAACTTTATTCCAACACAAAGAAGACAGAGAGACGAAATTTTCAACGACCACTGTCGCCTTCATCAGGACACCTTGATCAATTGCTGACATCACGTGTACGTATCCGTGTGAATAAGGTCACGTGTCTGTAACCGAAACTCTCGTGAGATTACGCGAGAAGTGATTGGTCATTATTTTTCTAAAGGCGACAGTGGTCGTTGAAAACTTGATCCCTCTGTACTCGTGTTGGAATAAAGTTAAATGTTTTAAGCTGAGGTCACAATTTCCACACGGGGCCCGGCCGGGCAGCTTTTGGGAACAAAAAATACGATATAGAAGACAACAATACATAGAAAAGTTCTTAATAAAAATCATGGGCACTATTTTTGTATATTCTTGATATGAATTGTTAATTTTTAGTTCATACAAACAGCCCGGCCCGGTCCCGGTTTGGAAATGTGACCTAAGCATTACTAGGACCTGAACTCGTTTTTCTCTCTTCCTATAGTAGCTACAAAAGAAGGAGGCTCTACCCTGGTGTACACAATCAGCCGCCATATGTGACTCCAAGCCAGGGAAAACAGAGTTTCGCGCTTATCAACCTCAAGCCGAGTACGCTCTACAACTTCAAGGTACCTCAAAATCATACTGACCTACATACTTCATCAAAGCTTTGTACAACCTCGAAGTTATAATATATGAACTGTATTTTGACACAACAAAAGTACAGTGACTTTTGTAAGGTCTTTAACTACATGTAGCTCCTCAATGGACTGTAAACTGAACTGTTATGAACTGTTTGATTCGAGAGCAGTCTCACCTTTAACGATTCCGCACAATGCTGTTTCTAATATCTTTGATGTCGAACCACCTTGCTATATTTATAGTGTGGAAAACCATGTCGTCAATTATTGAATGTTACTTGTATATACTTGTATATAATATATTATATTAACCTACAGTGTTAGTTTTACTGAGTATGTGGAATGTATAATTTGGCGCAATTCAGTATATATTGCAAGGCCAATTTGTATCGCGTTTTTACCAATAAACCATTCACTACATGTAGACATGCAGACAGATACGTGGGTACAACAAAATTGACCTATACTAGCTACGTACAAGACAATAGAAGAATCAACTTGAGCTGTTCTAAGGTCTAAACATTAATATGCATGAATGACAAAAGCTATGATGAAGAAGATAAAGGGACCCAATGCAATTTCAGGCCGCAAAACAATTCTGGATGAGGTCTGATACGATTGACATTTACTTTACAATTTCTTTAAATCATTTCATATTTGAAGCATTTGAAATCACCAAAACAAGCTACAGTCCCATTATTTTTGGGTTTCACTCTCAAATTTAGCTAGAACCAGTCTATGATACGCGAAACAACCAGCGTCATCGCATTTTTAACTTACAGATATCAGATTGAGTATATTATTGCATGGTGTTGATTCAATGCACTACATTAGATGAATGACAAAAAAAGACATTGAAAATCCATTTTTTTTGCCGCCCTGAAACTGCATCGGATGCCTTTAATTGTCACTATAATGTCAAGTAATGGATATACAACCAAGCTAAAGTTACCACTGCTAGTGCCGATGCGGTTTTGATCTATTTGCTGACTTCGTGGCTGTTCCATCCTGCAGATATACGCCCGGAGCGGTCCGTACATGGGTACCTTCAGCGATGGGTGGTTCAGCTGCACAACACAGCGAGCAAAGCCGATCGCACGACGTAAGTACGGCATGGGTACGACGTAAGTACGACATAAGTACGACGTAAGTACGACATAAGTACGACCTGAGTACGACTATTCCGTGAATAATGTTTAATAAGGTTGGTACTAAATTATTGGATAGCATTTTTGGATAAGTTCTCTTTTATTCATCACCAATTGTTTACGAAGAGCCAACGTTTTGATGACCGTCTGTCATCTTCATCAATGCAATTATGACTAGTTCACTGTGCACTAAAGCTACGTGTTGCTGGTTCACTGTGCAGTGAAGTTATAGGTATTACTACTAACAATGCGACCGCTAACCTTAAATAATTATGACATACACAGATCTTGTTTCAACAATAGAGAGATAAGTGGTCCCAAAAATAATAATTTAGTAATAGTTGTGAAACGCGACTATTAAACAGAACTATAACTTATAGGCACCTCCAACTTTTGCTGACCACTTTTTAAACACCAATTTTATCCTAAATTGTTCGAAGAAGGCTTAACAGCAATAGTTCTGCAAGGCAGTGAGCACAAGATTTCATGTGTATTTTCTTTGTGAAATGCTCATGAGCAAAATCGTTTGATTCTGTTTTGTGCAGGTTTTGACTGGTGGTTGCCCACAGTGTTCATAGTGTTCATAGTACTCCTGATCTTGATTCTACTTCTGCTCTGCTGTGTATTCGCCTATCTCTACAAGCACAAGTTGCTGTGTAGGAAAAAGAAGGTAAGTATAGCGTAAATATGTCCCTTGGAAAATGTAGTGGATAACAATAAAATAAAGGGATATCTATGAGTGAACCAATAATCATTTTTATGTTGAATCGAAGTGTATTTGTCATATTCGTGAATAGCTTCATCAGGTTGGTAAGTTACTGAGTAAAGAGACTCTTTTTAGACAAGTGTTTTATTTACAGCCGACATTTCAGTGACCGTTTGTCACCTTCCTCAGGGCAATTCTGACTGGTTCACATTGCACTGCAGCACAGGTGTCGCTGCTACAGATGCATTCCCAAACGTACAACGTTTACATATCTTTACATATACGTGGTTACAGGGAATTGTATCTACAATGCGGTCCCAAACGTACAATGTTTACATATCTATACATATACGTGGTTATAGGGAGCTGTATCTACAATGCGGTCCCAAACGTACAATGTTTACATATCTATACACATACGTGGTTATAGGGAGCTGTATCTACAATGCGGTCCCAAACGTACAGGGTTTGAATGTATACATAACTGTGGTCAATTATTTTGATAATTGCTAATGTTTAAAAACAATACGCTTTAAACATTAGCAATACGCAATATCCATATTGTGTGAGGGAATGTTGGACAGTGATAACTCGCTGATCTGTCCTTCAAACCACTGATGGAAAGTGTCCTCATAAAGAATATGTCATTTTTAACTCTACCAGTGGATTTTTTTCTGTTTCAGCCGGATGAAATTCCCTTGACAGAGATTGATGGTAAGTTAATACTACTTCTACAGAGTTTCACTGCCCAAATATTATAGTTTTTACAACATTCTACTGTTATAAAGATGAATGAATGACGAACCTTATTGCACATCATGGGCTAAGTGCAAGTCACAGCAAACCATGATAAACAGATACAGTTAATAGATACAGAATAAAACTATAGTAACTATCATTAGATATACACTCGCTTTTTAGTTATAGCACAGATTTTTTATTGGTTATTTATTATTTGCACGTATAAAAAAATTACATAATCAAACAATAACAATAAGAGAATATGCGGGGTAGGCCAGAAACCTAGGTGGTTTTTTTAAAGGGCCTACCCCAAACAAAGGTAACTATGATACATGACAAAACATATTTGAATTAACCATCAAAATTAACGCAATGAAATAATTGATTAATTAAACAAAATTAAGACACAGAAATAATAACTGAAGTGTGTAAACTATTTTTTTACATCTACGAAAAGAAATTAAACAAAAATCTAAAACAGATAAAAGAAACGCTTTTTTTTCAATGGAAGGTTTGTTTAGTTGCATTAGGAATGTGAATTTTGCGTCAGTTCATATGTACTGTGTAAGAAATAGGTACATAGGTTTTACACAACCCTGTACAGTTCATGTCACTCTTTGCTATAAACTTACATAAATGTACAACAAAAGTGGGGTCGTGTGGCGTAGCGGCAGAGTGCTCGACTCGGAACCCAGAGGTCCCGGGTTCGAGTCCTGACATGCCACCGATCTTGTGCCCTTGGGAAAGGCACTTTACACGACTTTCCTCACTTCGCTCAGGTGAAAATGAGCATTGTATTGTCCCCTGTGTTGGTGGCGGCATTAATATAAGTTTGAAAAACTTGAGTGTACCGTCACCACGTCTTGTGATTACATGTTGGAAATTATAAAAAAATGTACAACAATGGAACTTCTTCTCTTTCAGTCATGACCAAACCACATGTAGACAAACTGCGTTATTACTCCAACACCATCACCAGGCACATCAACCCACACAAGGTCGCGGACCGACTTGTGGCAAAAGAGGTAAGAAGTGAATTTCATCCCATTATCAATCTAAAAAACCATTTGTCTAATTCTAAGTACTAGGTCTAAGTTGAAGAACTTAGATTTGTCTAACTAATTTGTCTGATTAAATTTGTCTAACTAAAGTTGTATTGTGTCAGGATTTGACTCAAATGTTATATGTTTTCATAACTGCAAAAAGTAGTTTTACAGCTTTAGTATCTATCATTTTGTACATAACAGGTTGTGTAAAATCCCTAACGAACAATATCCATGTCCCTTCTTTTGAGACCTATCTGACTTGTACATGCTGTCCAATGATTTTCTTGAAACAAAAGATCATTCCCGTTTGTGTACCCCGAATTTCTTACAGATACGTCGTACAGATCCCGTAAGCAAATTCTGCGAAACCAAGAAGAATTTAGGGATTTCAGAGCTCCGTTTCTTTTTTTCGTCAATATATAGGACGTGTGAAGGGAGTTACATGTATATGGCATAATTTAATATGTAGACACCTACAAGGAAAACATTGTTTTTGCTCTCTTTCTTCTTTTTCTTCCGAGGTCACAAGGTCAATGACTTGGACCACATGTCTATCACCATGGTAACTGGTGCTCTAGCAAACTCCATGTGGTGTTGGATTACATTGTGTTGCAAGTTGCAAGACAGAGTTGGACTAATGACCCCATCAATATCTTTGAGTAAAGATAAACAGAGCAGTAGTTTGTTAGTGAAATTTTAGGGTTAGGGTTAGGGTTTTTTTTTAACGGAGTGGTTCAATGCAAGACCTAGCGCCTATACGACCACTTCTCGGCATTGAACTAGAAATATGAGAGAAACATGGCTATGTCAAGAGATGGCGGTGAACGTTTGATTTTAAAGCCTGTAGATTGTAGGTTGGTGGGAAACACTTGTCAGGGAGGGAATCCCAAAGCTTGGCCGTACGGGGAAAGAAACTGTCACTGTAAAAATATTTCGAACAAGGAATTTGGAATTTGGTTAGGGTTAGGCATTTGCATTTGCTTTGCAAATGTTACCTTTCTAGTCCTGATTTTTTTTTCTCCAAACTGTTCAGGCTCTACCAGTTCACATGGCAGGTGATGTGAAGAGAATCAGGAATCCGAAGTTTTCCACTAACCATCTCCTGGGCATCCTTGTGAATCGACCAGATGCCACCTTCTACCACTTCAGCAACGCCGTCAGACCAGAACACCCCTGGCTCTCCGACCTACTGGAGGATACACGTATGTAGATGAATTTTGATGTTATCGTAAAATCACCCAATAATGTATCACAATGAACGATAGATGAATACAGAATTGTCATCCTTACTAGAAATAAGGTTTACAGTGCAGAGGTTAAACAAAAACACAGACCGCTGCAGCAACGTGCGAACACGGCAGGTAGGCCAATGTCAAACTTGACCTTTGTTTTCCCAACCGTTACTCACCTACCAAATGTCATGAAGATCCATCCAGTGATGCTGCTGACATACATACAGACACCACAGCCACTCCATCATGGCCAAACCGATATCATTCCCTTCTGCCGAAAGCAATATAATGCAATTCACAATCCTTGATGTGTGACATCTTCCTGCGTTCTAATCGTGTGGCGATTTCTCAACAGAACCTGAAATGACTGCAGAGCACAGGAAGATGTTGGAGAACTATGAGATAGCCATGTCTCCCAACACGGACCCCATTCCCATTGTTGACCACTTGGTAAAGACCAATGTAAGTAATCAACTGATTACCAAACAACAATAATGTAAGTATAACATACTTATCAAAACATTAGTTTCAGCACCTAGAGAGGTGCAGGTATATTTCGAAATGTAACAAAGGTGTTCTGTTATTTTTTGCAAATGTTACAATAAACTTTGAGTAAAAGTAAAAATCTCATTGGATGGTAAAGTTCTTTATTCGAGACCACTTGTTTAACAAGAGACGACGTTTTGATGACCGTCTGTCATCTTCATCAGGACAATTATGACTTCGCACTGAAGTTAGGTATTACTACGAACAATGCTGTCACAAACGTAAAATAATTTTGACATGTAGACATGTGTAGATATTGTGACAACAATAGAGAGATATGTGGTTCAAAAAATAAAACGCCATTGCATTTTGCTTGCCAACAGTACCTAAATCCATCTGAAGAAAAGGAAATCAAGAAGTTGGACACCAAGGCAGACATGCACAGCCGTGTTCTCCAGTTACTCCAGGACCGACCCGACCCAGCCTTCCACGAGTTCCAACAGACCCTTCTCGGTAGTTCTTATGTCTTCTTATGTTTACCGAAGGAAAACATATTGTTTTTATTGTTTTTATTGTTTCTTTTTCCTCCTCTTCTGTTCCAAACACTAACCTCTGACCTGGCCAATGACATGCTTTGTTGACGTCTGTCACCATGGTGACTGGTGTTGGGTTACATAATGTTGCAATCATGGTCTGCTTTACTCCTGTCACCATATACTAGTAGTGCATGTATGTGGATGTGTTTGAGTAAGAATTAGCATGGCAGACCATGTCCGAAGGTAAACATTATGCATTTGCTTTGCAAATGTTACTTCTCTAGTTTTAATTCGTCTTTAAATTTGTAGTAGGGCCGTGTGGGGTATAATGGCAGAGTGTTCGGCTCAGAACCAAGAGGTCCCGGGTTCGAACCCTACCGATGCGGTCTTGCAACTATTTCACATTTCTGACATTTATGGTTGGCGCCAAAACAGCCCACACGAGGCACACTCAGTTTGTGGTGCCACCACAAACTAATAGAATGTAAACAAACATGGTTGTGTTTCCAGATAATGTGTAGATGTCATGTATTGTCACATCAACATCCTGAATGGCACTTTAATACGAGTACATGTACTTTCAATGGGGTATGGTTGATTCAACTTACTTTGTAAAGAAGTCACCAGAAAATTAGACCAGACTTTTCGTATCATTCTCTATTACGCAATGCAGCTTTTACATAAAACGAAATTTGAAAATTTGAAAAACTATCCGTTATTCACAGGAAACAACGTTCCTGAGGAGATGGTTGTAGCGGCTGCTGATGTGAACATGGCGGCGGCTCCTCCTCTGCTTTCCCCGGCTCCGCCCATGATGTCCCCACGGCACGGGTTCGAGGAGCTGTCCGGCAGTACTATAGAGGTGGATGATGGCCAGCCTGTCATCATTGAAATCAACGGATACGGTAGGGATCCTCTGGAAGCTTTCAAATGTTTGACTGTGCAAACTAAAGTAGTGGTGTTAACCAGTGGCGCTTTGGCATCCAGGACAATATTTTTAGAATTATGAATTGCTGGGGCATGGATAGATGCAAATTGTACATTGGAGGGACATTTGTAATTCTACAACAGACAGCAGACATGTACAATAAATCAATCAATCAATCAACTAAGTCTGTGTAATGTGTTGTTTGCATTTGAAATAAATAAAAATAATCAATCAACAGATCTTTCTTTCCACATCACTATTTCGAATCTGACGTCTTTGTATTGATACACAATGTACAACAAACAGTTGAATAGATAAATGAATGAATGAATGGATGGATGGATGTATGAATGAATGAATAAACGGATGGATGGATGGACGGATGAATAAATGAATGAATGACGACCTTAATAGAAACGTAACAATCAGCCCAAGCCTCTCATGACTGAACCATTGAAATTTATAGATTCATTTGAAGATGTTGCTGACAGATATGTTTCTTCACAGCCACGAACGTTCGCTGGTTCTATGAGGATATTCCGTTGGAAAACACGCCTGACTACCAACAGACTAGCGAGGGAGACGAGATGCACTCTATTTTTATCTCATCGGTAAGTGCAACGTCTGTGTCTGAAAAAATCCAATTCAATGTGAGCAGACTAAGATTAGCGTGCGTGCGATGAGGTGCAGATTCAAGTACTAATTCTACGTTGTACGACTGCTCTTGAATCATTCATAATTGAGGAAATGCTGTGTTGTTCCCACATCTCTACCGATCTCTGACTTGCTGCGTTGTTCTGAGACATCGACCAATTAAATGCTGTGTTGTTCCTACACATCGACCAATGAAATTCTGTGTTGTTTTGACAGATATCGATCGAATAATGAAATTCTGAGTTGTTTCGACATCTTGACCAATGAAATGTTTTGATGTTCCGACATATCGACCAATGAAATTCTGTGTTGTTCCTACACATCGACCAATGAAATGCTGTGTTCTTCCGACATATCGACCAATGTCAATGAAATGCTGTGTTGTTTTGACCTATCGACCAATGAAATGCTTTGTTGTTCCAACATTTTGACCAATGAAATGCTGTGTTGTTCCGACACATCGACCAATGGAATGTTGTGTTGTTTTGACATCTTGACCAATGAAATGCAATATTGTTCCAACATATATCCACCAATGAAATGCTGTATACTTCCGACATCTCGAGCAATGAAATGCTGCGTTGTTCCGACATATAGACCAATGAAATGTTGTGTTTTTCTTACACATCGATCAATGAAATGTTGTTTTGTTCCTAAACATCGACCAATAAAATTCTGTGTTGTTTTGATAGATCGACCAATGAAATTCTGTTTTGTTCCAACATCTCGACCAATGAAATGCTTTGTTGTTCCGACATCTCGACCAATGAAATGTTGCGTTGTTCTGACACATTGACCAATAAAATGCTGTGTTGCTCTGGCACATTGACCAATGAAATGCTGTGTTGTTCATACACATCGACCAATGAAATGCTGTGCTGTTTTGACACATCGACCAATGAAATGCTGTGTTGTTCCGACACATCAACCAATGAAATGCTGCGTTGGTCCGACATATCGACCAATGAAATGTTGTGTTGTTCACACTCATCGACCAATGAAATGCTGCATTGTTTAGACCCATCGACCAATGAAATGCTGTGTTGTTCCAACATCCTGACAAATGAAATGTTGCGTTATTCCGACGTATCGACCTATGAAATGCTGTGTTGTTACGACACTCTCTCTCTCTCTCAGTCTTGTCGTCCTGACGGACGATCTGCTCCAATCAAGTACGATGGGTGCGGCGGTGTGCCGCCAAACCAGCATTACTTCTGCAGTACTTGCCACAGTTTTACGACACATCGACTTATGAAATGATGTGTTGTTTCGACATCTTAAAAAATGAAATGCTGCGTTCTTCCGACACCTTGACCAATGAAATGCTGTGTTGTTCCAGGTGACCAAAGTGAACCAGGGTTGCTACACGTGTGTGGGGAATACTGAGTTTGGTGAGGTGAGGTGTGATATCTTCATCAGCGCGCTGAGTAAGGCAACCTATGCCCGGACCAACATCGCTTACGACGTCGACTTTGAGAAGTTGTATCCGCACAAGTATGTTTGATGACTCGGAGGTTTTCTTTAGCATTGCTTTGGTCAAATCACCTGATAAGGCCACAGCAAGTAATTTTTATGGATGGCATCAGCGCGCGCATTAATTTTCGCCTGATTTTGGAAGAAAAAACAAGAAATTTTGTTGCCTTCTGACAGTGGTCAACATACCGAAAATGGGCAAAGATGTCTGTTGCCATGCCGGAAGGTGGATGGCAAATATCCATGAAGAGAGGGGACAAGAAAAGGCTCTGATTTAATGTTTTGTTTCTTACTTTGATGCTGTTATATGTGATGCTGGTTGTGTATATGTGATGTTCCTACTGAATCAAAACCATTTGTACAATGATTGAGTCAAAATTCTACATTGTAGGAACTTTGTTTTTTTCGGCCCGCCTTGTTTTATTTTCGCCCGCTCGCATTAGATTTGGAATCTGCGAATTTGTCATCCATAAAATTTACTTGCTGGAGCCTAATCAATCACTAGCATGATTGTAACTACTATTTGAAATCTCTAGTATGATTGTAACTACTATTTTGATAACATGAGCTTGATGTTACTTGTAACACTTTATAGTATGTTTGACGTGTCGATGAAGAGTTTTAATGTGGTAGGATATATTTTCATCTCTAGTTGCAACTACCATTTGCAATAACATGAACCATAATTATAGTTGTTACATCTAATATTATGCACGATAACTACTAGATGTTAATTGTAATAGTTTATATTACGTTAATGTGTCGATGATGAGTTTTAATGTGTTAGGATATATCTTAATCTCTAGTTAGGCTGTCATCGTTTTTACATCTTATATATTGTGTACAATGTGTCGATGACACATTTTAATTCATTTTGTATTGTTCACTTATTTGCAGATTTATAGGAATTGTTTTGTTCTAATCTCCGTTTCAAGTCACTGTGGTTTCAAGTCAAGTAGATTAGGAAGTCTAGTGCTGTATTGCTGTAGATCAGAAGGGTTTATATTTTGTACAAACGTCTTGAATGATTGAATTATTCTTACTATGGTTAAATTTGATTAGTTATTTTTTTGGCCACACCAATTCAATTTCTTGGTTAACGGATTCGCCCGCTTCATTTTTTTCTGATTTGCAACAAAAAATTCAGAATCAACTGCGAAATGCTCACATTTTGCCCTGAACAGTTGAAAATAGTCCTTTTCTTCCTAGTTGTTACGGTTATTCCATCTTTCAATGCAATGGTATCATTAAAAGTTCAAAATTCATTGTTTAAATTTTGAACCAGCCTGGTGCGTTAACTTCATGTCTCCTATCATACCATTTTGGGCCATAGTAGGATGCCTAGGCCTGTTTTTATTTTTTTCGCCCGCCCGCTCCATTATTTTTCTAGAAAAATCCGTTAACCAAGAAATTAAATTGGTGTGGCCTTAGTGTCATTGATGGCACACGAATCAGAGTGGGATTTCGTGTAGATAGCTATGCGTATAAGATGCGGATGGTAACTAAGCACTTTCATAATTTAGATAAAGACTGGTATTGAGGTGTGTTTTTTTTTGTCACAGTAAATATGGCTGATGTAATAAAAACGAAGGGTGATACAGAGCTTGTCTGGCTTGTATTTTTCTGTGCGCTGCAGATCCCATGATAACCGCAAGGTGCATCTAACCTACAAGTTTACATACGTAATTTGGTATCCACCCAACAACCAACGTGATATCTGATCGTCATACATGTTAAACAATTCTAACAATTATCATAGTGTGTCTATGTATCTTTTATTCATAAGCACGGTAAGGATATATGGCCCTTCGTTCTGTTATTTCAAGAAAGAATGCCACCATTGTCAGTACTGTTAACTTAATTAATCGCACCAATGCTTGGACAACATTTTACTAAACCTTCATCCGACTGCGAATGAATGAATGTTTATTGTACATACATACCAGCTGGGTTAAGTAAAGGTCAATACAAAGGAATAGCTTGTATATACATGTATACACACACACATGGTCAACGATCATATACACGTACATATACACACACACACACATGATCATGCTAGTGCTAGCACTATAGTCCATTAAGTAAATTCAACTTGTCCTTACTTCTCTGTTGATGGTGAAAAGACAAGAACAGAAATGTTTCAGGATCAGAGGTTTGTCTAAAGTCATTAGAAATGTGAATTCGGCTGTATTACCTAGGTGTATGAAGTAGGGAAACATTGCATGTTTGCCAGTCTACAAAGTTCAACTCATTGTTGTCCAGACTACACTCGACTTCCATAACGGAATAATGTTCATCTTCTATCTAAATTACAGTATCGACATATCCGTTGTTCCGGGGGAGTGCGGTTATATCTTCCGGTAAAAAAAAACACATATGGCATCAGAGGTATTAGAGGTTTGTTCACTAAACTACTGACACATTTGATGCCAGAAAATTATGCTACTCCTCATGTCCACCAGTAATGACCATACAATAGAAAAACTTTGTGAGTTTATCTCTAATTGCTTTAAAAAGAGAGAAGAAATCCTTAAGGCTTAGTTTAGTTTATTCTCTGACTAGTAGTTGTTAAGACGTTACGTCATTCTGTTATTCTGTTATTCTTGTATCTTATGTATCATGTTACTCAGTACGATGTACATGTAACATCACTTTCTGATGTATACATTTAGCCCCATGGGCATGGACATGCAAATAAATAAATAAATTAATAGGCTAAACAACACCAACTAGGGGGACCAAACTCACACCACTTATTCCTGACAGGAAAAGCAATCTGTCACCAAAACATCAAGACTATAGCATGTTCAGGACAAAAGATACAAAAACCGGAAGTTCTGCTGCAGTACCAAGATCATCCACCAGGAGGCCCATATTTGACCTTGACCTTTGTCTTCCTAAGACTTACCAACATACCAAATATCATCATAATCCATAAATGCGTTATGAAGTTATGCTGACTACAAATGTGCGGAAACACAAACACACACACACAGACAGACACACACACAGACACGCCAAAAACAATATCTCCATTTTTCATGGAGGTAACAACAGCATAATACAATGTCTTCTGATGTCAGATTGTCAGTACAGAAATTCTTTTTTTTAAGTATATAAGATGCTGTATGAATAGTTTGTGTTTCTTGTTTTCTATGGGTGAAATACCTGAATTAAAGACATTCATTCATTCAGAGGTCCTAGTCTGAACACCTGGATGTCTTTTTTGCTATGCAAGTCACGGCGCAGATATTTTTGCCCGACGTCCTCGGGCACTTCCCTTAGCTTCTTGTTGAATAAACAACGTGTTTCACACAACAAAGAAGCCGGCCGGTGGCAGAGGCTCTACCGCTGATCCATTCAGGAGGTCCCGGTAATTATTATAAGGCCACACCGTCTTAATTTTATGGATGACATCCGCGCGCGCAGTGATTTTCGCCTCTTCTCCAAGAAAAGAAAAAGAAAGAAAAGATCACGTCCTCCGAGGCTCTGGCCTGGCTCTAGGCCTGGGTGGTCCATGGTAGTTAGCTACAGTACGGAGCCGGCGGTAACTGGAGGACGGCACCCAGGCTACCGAAGCTCCACGACTGAAGAACTCAGTACATATGTACAGTGCAGATTCATAAATTACGCAAAAAGCCAGCATGCGCCGGCTTGTCGTGTACGTCTCTATGTACTGCCGCAATACCAGATTTGTATTCCTGTAGTTTGGTTAGCATTTTTATTTTTGGCCGGAATTTTTTTATTCGCCCGCGCGCACTAGTTTGGATGTCTTCAAAGGATGTCATTCATAGAATTAAGACGGTGTGGCCTAATTACCATGTGCGGCTCGGCGACATGTTTTGGTGTCTGGCGGGATTTACAGGTGGTCGGACAGGTACGTATGACCCTCAAGGCAGCCTCCAAACATTAGGGGTCATTGCTCCATTTTCTAACTCATCGATCATCCGTTGTAATACCGCACATCAACGTCACCGTCCAACCATAACACAGCATCGCCGTAGTTTTCCGAATGTCGCATTTCTATCCAATCAGGTGCGTCGGCGGCCCTTCCATTGATCTGGGTACCCGGTCTGTCAGGTATCGAAGCGGGAAAGGTCATTTACCGTTATGGGTTACGAACACGTTCATTAAATATTCAACAACAGCGGAAACACCCAGACAGACAGACAGACGGTTGTGACCAGCCGGCATACATGTACACACGTCTTTCAAATGAGGTTCGATTGGTAGTGAGAGTGGTCAAACATCAAGTAGAACAATAGATTTCTTCACTGCGCCAAGACCAAGATTCAAGGTAAGAACCTTTCGATTAAAAACGCATTCATTCTTCGTGAGCTTATCAAATATTTGCTCCATGCAACAATGTATAGGTTTACTGTATGTTTTGTGCTGCATACTGTGACACATGCAAGCTAAATTACAGTATTTACCAACGCCTGTATGTCTTGTTAGTGACTCCTGCAGTGTGCTTTGAAGATCGTATTCACTATATGATTTCAATTCACCCAGCCTCTATATATAGGATCTACAACGTTATAGGCAAAGAATTAGAAATTCTTTGTTTTATTGTTAGTATATCAGGGAGACATATCAAACCTTAATTTGTTGCTGAACTCTAAACGTCGCCGACCCTCTATACCAATGGTGTATTAACATAGATACTAACACATGGGAGACACTAGCAACAAACAGAACACTTTGGAGACAGGAAGTTAAGAAGGGCTTACATCGGGGGGAAGAAAAACAGAGACTCGCATCAGAACTGAGACGCTTTAAGCACGAAACTAAGAATAAGTACACGGTGTAGGATGAAGTACTTCATGGTCTTTTAAGACCGACGAATGCCTACTACTACTATTAATACCATAGAAGTGACTAGAGATGTATAGTTTTAAACGTTATTCTTTTAAACACAATAACCCCCACGGCATTCAGGTACACGTGAAGG